GGTTTGAAGTCCTTTAAATGACTGGTAGAATTCACTAGAGAAACCATTTGGTCTTGGAATTTTCTTTTCTTTTTTTTTTTTTAAGATTTTATTTATTTATTTGAGAGAGAAAGAGTGAGAGAGACGAACAGAGAGCACAAGTGGGAGGAAGGGCAGAGAGAGAGAGGGACAGGCAGGGAGCTGGGCTCAATCCCAGGACCCTGAGATCATGATCTGAGCCAAAATCAGCCAGCCACTTAACTGACTGAGCCACCCAGGTGCTCCTGGGATTTTCTTTCTTAGGAAGTTTTGATTATTAATCCAGTCTCTTTACTTATTATAGCTCTGTTCAGATTTTATATTTCTTTTCGAGTCAGTTTTCACAAGCTGTGAGTTTCTAGGAATGTGTCCATTTAGTTATCAATTTATTGACATATGGATGTTCATTTTTTTTATAATCTATTTTATTTCTGTAAGGTCAGTAGTAATATCCCCACTTCCATTTCTCATTTAGTAATTTGAATCTTCTATTTTTTCTTAGTCTAACAAAAATTTTGGCAGTTTTGTTGATCGTTTCAAAGTACCTTTTAGTTTCATTGATTTTTCTCCGTTTATTCTCATTTTGCTTATCTCAACTCTAATTTTTATTATTTTCTTCCTTATGCTGGCTTTTGGTTTAGTTTTATCTTCCTTATCTCATTTCTTAAGGTGTGACGTTATTGATTTGAGATTTTTATTATTTTTTATTGAAGTATAGTTGATACATAATGCTACATTAGTTTCAAGTGGAGATCTTCCTTTTTAATGTATCTACAGCTATAAATTTCTCTTTAAGCACTACTTCCACTATATCCTATAAGTTTTGCTATGTTGCATTTTCATTTCCATTCATCTCAAAATATTTTCTAATTTCCCTTGTGCTTTCATCTTCGACCCAATGGTTGTTTAAGAGTGTGTTGCTTAATATCCAAATATTTTTAAATTTTCCAGTTTTCCTTTTGTTATACATTATGAGTGTCATTACATTGTGGCAGAAAAAATTTCAATTTTTAAAATTTTATTACCTCTTTTTTTGTGGCCTAACATAATGGTGTATTTTGGAGAGATTTCCATGTGAACTTGAGAAAAAAATGTGTATTCTACTGTTTGGGGATGGTGTGTTCTGTGTATGTATGTTATGTCTAGTTTATATTATTATTCAAGTCCTCTATTTTCTTATTGACAATCTTTCTGGTTGTTCAGTCCATTATTTTTTTTTTTTTTAAGATTTTATTTATTTGAGAGAGCGAGAATGAGAGAGAGAGAGAGAGAGTACATGAGAGGGGGAAGGTCAGAGGGAGAAGCAGACTCCCTGCTGAGCAGGGAGCCTGACGTGGGACTCGATCCCGGGACTCCAGGATCATGACCTGAGCTGAAGGCAGTCGCTTAACCAACTGAGCCACCCAGGCACCCTGTTCAGTCCATTATTGACAGTGGGATACTGAAGTCTCAACTCTTATTGTAGACCTGCCTATTTCTTCCTTCAATCCTGTCAATTTTTGCTTCATATATTTGGAGGCTCTCTTGTTAAGTACATATATGTTTATAATTGTTATATCTTCTTTATGGATTGAATCTTTTATCAACATATAATGTTCTTTGGCCCTTGTAACAATTTTGTATAAAGTCTACTATGTCTGATATTGGTAAAGCTATCTCAGCTTTCTTTGGTTGCTATATACAACCTTTCACTTTACATATTTTGTCTGTGGATCTAAAGTGAGTCTCTTGTTAGATAGCATATACTTGGATCATGTTTAGTTTTTTTTAATCCATCCTATCAATATCTGCATTTCAATTGGAGAGTTTAATCCATTTATTTAAAGTAATTATTGTTCAGGAAGGACTTCTGCCATTTTTCTTTGTCTTCCTTATGTCTTATGTCTTTGTTCCTCAATTCTTCCATAACTGTCTTCTTTTGTGTTTACTTGATTTTTTAATAGTGTTCTGCTTTGATTCCTTTCTAATTTTCTTTTTTGCAATTTTTAAGGTATTTTCTTGGTGGTTGCCTTAAATTATAAGTAATTTCTTAAAATTTTAACAATCTATTGTGAATTAATAGTACCTTACTTCAATAGTATACAGGAGCTCCTATAAAGCTCCATCACACCCACTTTATGTTGATGTCACAAATTACATCTTTGTACACTGTGTGCCTATTAGTATAGATTTATAATTATTGTTTTATGTATTTATTTTAAATTATATTGCAAAAAAAATAGAGAAGAGATAAACCAAAATTACAATACTGGCTTTTGTATTTACCTATATAGCTACCTTTACCAGTATTCTTTGTTTCTTCATATGTCTTCAAGTTACTGTCTGGTGTCTTTTCATTTTTGCCTGAAGGACTCCCTTTAGCATTTCTCATAAGGCTGTTCTTCTAGTGCTGAATTACCTTAGCTTTTGTTATCTGGGAATGTCTTAATTTCTCCTTCATGGGAATGTATTTAATCTTAATTATTTAATTTAATTTCTCCATTATGAGAATTATTTGAAGGATATAGAATTATTGGTTGAGAGTTTTCTCTTTCATCTCTTTAAGTATGGTATCCCACTGACCTCTGGACTCCATGGTTTCTGCTGAGAAATCAGTGTAATCCTATTGAGGATTCCTTGTATATGATGAGTCACTTTTCTTTTGCTGCTTTCAAGATTCTCTTTCAACACTTAATTATAATGTGCCTGAGTGTAGATCTCTTTGTTTATCCTTTCTGGAGTTTGTTGAGCATCTTAGATGTGCAGATTCATGACGTTTATCAAATTTTGGAAGTTTTTTGGCCATTATTTCCTCAAATATTTTTTGTTCCTCTTTATTTTTTCTTCTACCATTCTGAAATTCCCTTTATGTGTATGTTGGTTTGCTTGGTGGAGCCACATAGGTCCTTTGAGCTGTGTTCATTTTTCTTTATTCTTCTTTCTGCTCCTCAGACTGGATTATTTTAATTGACCTGTCTTTTAAGAATTGCTGATTCCTTCTTCTGCCTGCTCAAATTTGCTATTGATAACTCTAGTGAGCTTTTCCATTTCAATTATTGTACTTTTAATCTGCAGAATTTGTTTGGTTTCTTTTTATAATTCCTATCTCTTTATTCATATTCTTTATTTGTGTGTACATCATTCTGGTTTGCTTTAGCTCTTTGCCCATAGTTTCCTTTAGCCTTACCAGAATATTTAATACAATTGATATAGTTTTTGGCTAATAAATACAAAGTCTGTACTTCCACAGGGAGAGTTTCTGTTAATTTCTTATTTAAGCAGGCTATACTTTCTTACTTCTTTCTATCCTTTGTAATTTTTTTTTTTGAGAACTGAACATTTTGAGTATAATAATGTGGTAACTCTGGAAATCAGATTCTTCTTGGTCCTTGGGTTTTGTTTTTGTAGTTTGCTGTGAGTTCTAGTTGTTTGTTTGCTTAGTGATGTTTCTAAACTATTTTTATAAAGACTTTATTCTTTGTCATGTATCATCTTAGAAGTGTTTGCTTTTTGGCTTTTGGTCAGCAAGTGTCCTGACAGATATTTCCTTGAACACCTGAATTCCTCCCCACATCAGAAAAAAAGGAGAGCAAAGAGAAAAGGGGAAAAAAAGGGGGAAAAAACTCCCAGTCTTTGCAGATTGAGTCTGTGTTAAGGTATTCCTTTAATGCTTAGCCAGCCTGTTTACAACTATGCCTTAGTCTTCACTTCCTGCTTGTACTGAGCCTAGAGATCAGCCAGAGGTGGAAAGATTAGGATATTTTCAAGTCTTTTCTGAGTATGCATCCTGCCCTAGTCATGCACATGACTTTCTAAATTTCCCTGTATATGCAAGCCTTTTTCAATATCTTAATTTCCCAAAGAAACTCCCTCCCTAGCTTTTTCTCTCAGGCTTTTAGTGTGTTCTTATTTGACTCCATTATATTCTCTTGACTCTAAGAGAGATGAGTTGTTCATTTGCCTTTCAATATTTGTGGAGAATGCAGTATGCACAGCTGCTTTACCACCTGAGAGAGTGCTGAATTAAAAAAAATAATAATAAGACAAGTGCTCTGTGTCAGTCCTTCAGGTAGCTCCCAGACAGGTTGAAACAGAGAAACCAGCTCTGCTAAGAATAAAGTCTGCTCTGCCCCCTCTGGAACCAGAGGCCAGGGTCTCAAACTGGGAAGGCAGACTACTGTCTTTAAAGATCATCACCACGTTGGGAAGGGGAGTATGGCAAGAGTGAGTAAAGATGCCATAAAGCTTTCCTACTAATTATAAGTTGCCCTTTTCTTGATTTAGTACTTGCTTAGAAGTTTGTCTATTTTAATCTTTCAAAAGAACTAGCTTATAGTTTTGCTGAACAACAAAGGTCATTAAAATTAAAAACTTTCTTCTAATTACCTTTTTGGCCCTACTTCGCAGATTGTTGGCCATGCAGGGTTGTTAAACATTGAAAGACAATAAGTGTAGTAAAGGATACAAGCTCTAGAACCAGACTGTCTGAGGGTATTACTGTGTGCCATACTAGCTGAGTGACCTTAGCAAGTTGGCTAACTTCTCTTTGCTTGTTTCTTCCTCCAAAATGGAGAGTAACAATAGCACCTACCTCGTAGGGTTGTTGTGAGGATTAAACCAGTTAATATATGTGAAAGGCCTTGAATAGTATCTGGCACATTTTAAATGTAATTAGTTGCGGTTGATACTCTTTGTGAAATAGTAAGCAGACAGTTTCTCTAAATGTTTCATAAACATTCGAAGAGTATAAAATTCTATGATAGAGTTTTTATAAAAATCAAAATTGATAATTATGTTATCTAAATCTTTTATATGTATATTTATTACTCGTTATTTGTCAAATTCTAAAAGCTGTAGATTACAGTACCTAGCTACTATTGTGATTTGGCCAAAGTATTTCTATCTTTGCTTTATATGTTTCAACATTCATTTGTTAATTGACAGACTCAAAGAATGTATATTAAAATATGGTCATTTATCAAGCAGAATAAAATATAAATTACCTTTGTCTTCCTTTACGATTTTGTCACATTGAACCTCTTTGTTCTTTGGAGCTCCATTAATAGTCTGCATCATCCTTTCAACATATAAGTCATTGCCTAATCTATTTCTACAAAGGGTCTCATAATTCTTGTTTCTCCGACTATAAAAAAAAGTATATTCAACTCATTAATAAAAATTATTACCACAGATATTACCTCTTTATATTATGTTTTCTCTTTAAAGTTACCTTCTTTAATGTGGATTGCACCAAACGTTAAGTGAGAGTTCAAAAAAACTCTTTAGGGAAAGACTGCACTGAATTACCTCCGAAGGACTCTATTTACTGTACCTCCCAGCATCCCTACTACTTTCAGTGCCCATCAACAATATGCTAGCACTCTCTCCAGATAGGTTTTATGAACTTTGCTATAAACACTGAAAACTATACATTTCCCTTAAGGTACCACCTTTGTGTCATCCTGTAGGTATTATTTTCATAATTATTTAATTCTGAGTATTTCTTAAATTTCTATTATGATTTCTTCTTTGATTCATGAGGAACTTAGAAAATGTGCTTTTTAACTTCCAAATGTGTGTATGAATATTATTTATGTTTTCATTGAGATTTATGTTATTAATTTTTAACTTAATTCCATTTGTGGCCAGAAAATTTAGTTTGTATGGTACTATTTCTTTGAAATTTTTGAAACCTTGCTTCATGGTCTTGTGCATGGATGATTTTTATAAATGTTCCATATGTGCTTGAAAAGAGTGTATGTTCTCTAATTGTTGAATGAAGAGTTGTGATCATTAAATGTTTTTGGTTCAAATTTTCTGTATCTATGTGAATTTTTTATCTGGTTGACACACCGTAATTAAGAGAGGCATGTTTAAATCTACTTTAATAGGATACTTAACAAGTTTTAAATTTTTGCCTCATATATGTTCAGGCTATTTTATTAGGGGTATTCAAGATTAGAATTATTTTTACCTTCCTGTCATTATGAAGTAAACTTCTTTGTCCCTAATAATGCTATTGGTTTAATTGTTTCTCTGTGGATGATATGTTTTTTTCTTTCTTTTTTTCTTCTGTTTTTTTTATTTATTTATTTATTTATTTATTTATTTATTTATTTATTTATTTTTAAAGATTTTATTTATTTATTTGAGAGAGAGAGAATGAGAGAGAGCACATGAGAGGGGGGAGGGTCAGAGGGAGAAGCAGACTCCCTGCCGAGCAGGGAGCCCGATGCGGGACTCGATCCAGGGACTCCAGGATCATGACCTGAGCCAAAGGCAGTCGCTTAACCAACTGAGCCACCCAGGCGCCCTTTCTTCTGTTTTTAAAATCTTTAAACATTTGATATCCTGGAGTATCAGTACAACGCACAACTTCTTTTTTTGGATATTTTTAAAAATTTATTCCTGTTTCTGTGACATGGTGTCTTTTAAGAGCTTCGGAAAGTCCTTACCCCCTCTTTTTGAACAGTTCCTCTCCTTCATTCTTCCTATTTTGACTTTTTGAAACTAACCAGATGCATGTTGGACCTTTATTCTATTGTTGATGTCTTTTTTTAACTTATCTTTCATACTTTATATCACATTTTTATCTCCAAGGTTTATTTTGTATAATTTATCCAGATCTTTGTTTCAACTTATTAAATCTCTGTTCAATTACGCCTTGTTTAAATTTAACATTTACTTTTTAGTTTCAACAGTTATATAAGCATACTTTATTTTACAGTTCTTTTTAGATGTTTTTGCAAATATGAGTCATCATTTTGATAGTTTCTTAATGTTAGTGAGGTGTTAGCTTTATCTTTTATTTAAATATTTCACATATATTTTATATTCTATATCTCATAATATAGCCCTACTAAAATCTCATTATCCACAGTCCTCATGATGTAGATATAGGGTTTGTTATTTCTTTTAATTCTCATTCATAATGGCTTCTTTATTGGTTTGGTGTATTTTTACCAAACTCAATCTGAGGCAATCTTAAGAGCCTAAATGGGATATGATTTCCTCCAGAGAAAATTCATGTTGGCTTATGATAGTAGCTATGAGACCTGGGATCACTTGAGATAACTGAAATCCTTTTAAGGGTCTTTGATTAATACAAAAATATCTCTTTCCGTCCTCTCAATTTGTGGGGGACCCAAGACTTAACGAACAATAGATCCATGTGCTAATTTTAACATTTGCTTCTAGCATCTCTCCCTCTCTGATTTCAGATCATTTATTTATCCATTTGTTATTCTTTCCTTTCCTTTTTTTGGTGTTAAGAGCTTCCCTTTATGTCTTATGGGTTTCAAAGTATGTTATTCAGGATCTATTTGTACTATATTCTATAGTCCAAAACAATTCTAGGTTAATATCTGGATAAGAATAATGCCCTAAAAATATTTTAATGATGAATTTTTTAGTACTATGAGTCATATTCAAATTATATTTGAATCTAAATAATCCGAATAACTATCAATACTCTATAGTAGCTAAATTAATTTCAGACAGAGTAGACTTCAGAGCAAGGCAAATGATCAGAGATAAAGAGGGACATTACATAATGATAAAGGGGTCAATTCTCCCAAAAAGGCATAACAATCCTTAATGTGTATGGGTTTAACAACAAAGCTTCAAAATACACAAGGCAAAAATTAATGATCTATTTAAATTAATTAATAAGGACAGATGGAAAATCTGCTCTAATATAGTAAACTCAGTTATTTTCCCATTACATATTTTTCTTCTTAAGTTTTTAATATAAAAATGTCAGTCCTTTGTTTTTAAACTGGAAATAATTTATATACGCATAAAAGAAAATAATCATTAAAATCTATATTGAGACTTGGAAGCTTCCTTTATTTCTTTTATTATTTGACTTAGTAGTTTGCCTACTTTTTAAAGAGTAAGGTAAAGCTATGGGTACTTCCTCTAGGAAAAAAGTACATACAACATAAATACTTTACATATCATTTCATAGGGCACACATATAACTTTACACATAATTTCACCAAACACATATGCCACCACTATTTATCCAGGAATCCCTAAAAACAGAAACAAGGATAAGAACCTCTGACTTAGCACTTAAATTACAGAAGCAAATAGACAATTGAGCCATACATACATGACCTTCTCAGCTTCTTCAGATTCCACAGAAACCATGACTGTTGGTAGGTTAAAAAATCTCAGTGTTTCCGTCTCTGTGAGTGTTATCTCTATCATCTTTTGTAGGTCTTCTTTTGTTACAATTTTCTCAGGTGTTGCCCTCACAACTCGTAAGTCTAAAATAGATGACTTAATAAAAATCATTGACTAATTGCTATTTTTAATTTTCATTTTACCAAAATATCGTGATGGGTCATACATTGCAGGTGGCTTTATGTGGTCAAAGAACAGACCGTGTTGTGGGATGTATTCAATCCCTCTGATGCAGGGGGGGAGATTATGATAGTAATCCAATCCTCCCGTCTCCCTCTGATAGGATGATCCTCCCTGCTGCCCCAGACACTGCTGATTGCCTAAGTTTTCATTGCTAAGGCTTTTTCCCTTCCCTTGCTCTTTCCATTAAGAAAATCAAGTGTTTAGCTTTCTTAGCCTCTCCTGAAGCTAGAGTTGACCATGTGACAGAGTTCTGGCCAATGAGATAACAGCAGAAATACATAGGAAAGAAGAAGGCTCCTGGGGAAACTTTTACTTTCCTGATAAATAAGGGTGATATGACTGAAGCTAATGCCTTTCTCTCTCTTTCTGCCTTTAACATGGATATAATACCCACAGCTGGGGCAGATATTTTGAGACCATGGAGCAAACAGCAAGAAGCAAGAAGTAAGAAGAAAAGTTTTCAGGAAAGAGAATAGCAGAGCTGCCAATCCAGAGTCTGACAGTCAAGCCACAAAATCAAATCCAAAATAGTTGATTGTTTAAGCTAATGGTAGTTGGGTATTCTCTTGTGGTCAGAGCATTCCTGTTACATATCTTAACACCAAAGACGCTATCAAGCACTTTTCCAAACTTATGAATACTTTCATCAATCCTTCATTATCATCTCAGAGGAAGAGGCACCCTTACTGCACTTCAAGGTGAATGTTCCTCAGGTAGGTACCCATTTCTTCCAGCACTTTTGATCATCCATTATTTTATCATTCTTTTATCTTTATTTTCATAATCCTTTACCTCATGTTTTATGCTCTGCCTGGAAGGAGCCACTCTTACTTGTTCTCCTGACAAATTACTAATCATCTTTAAGAACCCAATTCAAAAGTCTATAATGTTCTCTATGAATTCTTTTTTTTTTTCCACCTCAAAGATATTAATCTTCACTTTCAAAGTGCTCCGATAACATTCTACATATGTCTTATTAGGGAACTGATCACAATGTATCAGAAGGACTTGCCTCCTGCGTTAAAAGCAGAGGACTTCTAAAACAGGGTCTGTCTCTCCTGAGGCTGGTGGTGCAAGAGACTCACCTTGGGAACTTTAATGCTACCCTGGTAGTTCTCAGTAGCTACTCCTCAGGCCAGCATTTGAGAATCATTACCATAGTTCTTTTATCTCAAGTACCTGACAAATAATAAGCTCAGTTGCTGAGGAAATAATGGGCTGTTACTGAAATAAATTATATTATTTTCATTACCTGTAAAACTACTCAGTTTTTCCCGTTTATAGGATGGTTCTTCTAGGTCTTCTGCTATTGATTCAGTAGTAGATACACTTGATTTAGAAACTGTACTGCTTCCTAAAACTGACCTTTAATAATGAAAAACAACATTATTCATTTATTTAGATGTTCTTATGGGTAATGAAATATATAAATAAAAACATTATCATATTGAGAAATCAAATATATAATCATGTAAAAAATTGATAAAAAGAAACTTCTTTAAACAGAGTTGTTTTGTAGTGTTCCTTAAGTAAAAAGTCATTATAAATATATCTTAGAGATAAAACATGTCAAACCTATGTCTAAAGTCCTTCGATGGATTCACAATATATTTAGCATAAAAAGCTAAAACACAGTCTACCTATCCAGTCTCTCCATCTTCATTATCACTCTTCCCCTTCCCCATTTTTCCTCAATCTTGCAGTTCTCTCTTATTTTATTAGAGCTTCGGCCTGGAACTTCCTTTCATTTTTCACCCGTTTTCTGCTCATCATTCAAATCCCATCTTAAATGTGATTTATTCAATTTTATAAAGGTCCTCTCAAGATTTAATTAAAAGAAAATCTATATACTGGTTGGGAAATCAATAAATTGAAGAATACAAAAATAATTTCTTTAAACATATGAACTTAATATTACTTTATGATATTATATACCTTTTTGCCTTTTCTATTTATAAGTCCAACTGTCCTCCAAAAGGATAGATTCAGTTTAGTGGAATATTCTTTGTTTTATAGAGCACTCCTATGACTATTCTATGCAAATTTGGAGGCAGACTCTCGAACAGCATATTTTCTCTTAAAATTTTGTGCTTAGTTAACATCTGGAAATTTTAATTTGTCAGATTGAAAATTACACACTCAAATATTTCCCCATAATCTTTAGATTATTTTAGGACATCCTGTTTTATTATTGCAAAGACTCTGAACTTCTCCACTGTAAGCATTAATAAAATTTCAGTAATGTAAGTGTCTACATAATACATGCATAACATTTCATTTACAAAAAAATTATGAAACAGAAGAGAAATCAAAACCCTAGGAGAACAGGGATTTTCATGGAAGAATGGAGTCGGGGCGGGGGGTAGTCACAGAGAAGGAAAGCTACTTCTTCCCATAAACTGCAACATAAAAGAAACTGAAGAAATGTGTCTGTGAGTATGTGATACTAGCCTCACCTTTTGGTTCCTCAGGAAATCTTGAGTAAAATCTACATATTTTTCTCAGAAATGTTTTGGTGTGTCAGGGAACTCTTAAGTCATGTAAAGCTCTACATCTAAGTAAAACATGAGGGGAACATAGAGATGGCTAGTACACTAATGTAGAGTGGAGTTGGGAGTCTGAAGACAACTGACATCTAAGTTATATATATGCAACTTAAACAAAAAGACAGTACATATGATATAAAAAAGAACAATAGAATAGTATACTCTACCTTGTAAACTGCCCTAACATACTAGGATTTATTGTATTCTGATACAGGCTATAGGAAGATATATATTCTGATGCATATGATCCTTCTTGTGATGTCAATAATTTATTTGGCTTTGCTGCACCCATATGTGTGTCTTGATGGTAAAGAGGTCGGGGAGTAACATCAACTCCAAGTGCATTAATTACCTGTGGAAAATGGTTATTTAAAATGAAATGTTAAAAAAAATGGGGTTTCTGAAAAATAGGGTCCTAGAAAATAGAAATAAAAGTAGTAGGAAAAAGGAAATACAATGTTTCTAGGATGGAATAAACATGAAAAATTGAATGAAAGATTTTATGCTTAAAAAATTTCTTAACTAGGCATACTTTTTAAAAACGTCTTATTCATGTTTTTACCTATATGCAAGTAATACATATTAATTTCAGGGAAATTCAGAAAGGTAGAAAGATAATTCATCCAGATTGTTAATATTTTTGTATGTTTAATTTTTTATGTATAAGCTTTAAAAAAACCCACTATTATTCATTCAACATTTTATTAGTAAACATTTCCCAATTTTCACATATTGCTGTTTTTGCCTAATTCTTAATCTTTCCAATTATGAAATTTAACATACAGAAATACAGCTCTTACATTCAAGTTTTTAATCCATTTTGAGTTAATTTTTGTGTATGGTGTAAGATAGTGGTTCAGCTTTATTCTTTTGCATGTGGCTGTCCAGTTTTCCTAACTCTACTTATTGAAGATACTGTTTTTCCCCAGTGTGTATGCTGCTCTTTAATTGTAAATTAACTGACCATATATGTGAAGGTTTATTTCTGGGCTCTCTATTCAGTTCCATTGATCTTTGTTTCTATTTTTGATGTATGTGTTTATGTACAAATACCATACTGTTTTAATTACTACAGCTCTGTAATACAATTTGAAATTAGAGAGGGTGATGTCTCCAGCTTTATTCTTTTCTAAGATTGCTTTAGCTATTAGCTCAGGGTCTTTTGCTGGTCCATACAAATTTTAAGATTATTCTATTCTGTGAAAAATGCCATTGAAGTTTTGATAGGGTTTGCCTGACTCTGTACATTGCTTTGGCTAGTGTGGACATTTTAACAATATTGACTGTTCCAATCAATAAGCATGGAATATCTTTTTATGTATTTGTATCTTCAATTTCTTTCATTAATATCTTGTAATGTTCAATATACAGATCTTTTACCTCCTTTGTTAAATTTATTTCTAGGTATTTTATTTATTTAGATGCAATTGTAAATGGGATCATTTTTTAAATTTCTCTTTCTGAGCACTGGATATTAATGTATAGAAATGCAACAGATTTCTGTATATTAATTTTGTATCCAGCAAATTTACTGAATTTATTTATTATTCTGATAGTTTTTTGGTGGCCTCTTTAGGACTTTCTATATATAATATCATGTCATCTACAAATAGTGACAGTTTCACTTCTTCCTTTCCAACTTGGATACCTTTCATCTCTTTTCCTTGATTTATTACTCTATCTAGGACCTCCAATACTATGTTGAATAAAAGGGGCAAGAGTGGGTATCCTTGTCTTTATCTTGATCGTAGAGGACAAGGTTTCATCTTTTCACCATTGAGTACATATATGGCCTAATTATGTTGAGGTACATTCTCTCTATACCTGCTTTGTAGAGTTTTTGTCATAAATGGATGTTGAATTTTGTCAAATGCTTTTTCTGCATCTATTGAGATGATCATATGATTTTTATCCTTCATTTTGTTAATGTGGTGTATCACATTGATTGATTTGTGAGTACTAAACCATCCTTGCAATCCCTGGAATAAATCCTATTTGATCATGATCTATAATCCTTTTAATATATTGTTGAATTTGGTTTACCAATATTTTGTTTAGGGTTTTCTATCTATGTTCATCATAGATATTGGTGTATAATTTTCTTTCCTTGTGGTGTCCTTGTATGGTTTTTGTATCGGGTAGTGCAGGCCTCATAAAATGAATTTGGAAGAGCTTCCCCCTCTTCCTTTATTGGAAAAGTTTGAGAAGAATTGATATTAATTCTTCTTTGAATGTTTGGTATAATTCACCACTGAAACTGGTTCTAGAATTTTGTTTGTTGGGAGGTTTTTGATTACTGACTCAATCTCTTTAATAGTAATTGGACAGTTCAGATTTTCTGTTTCATCAAATTCAGTCTTGATAGTTGTTCATTTCTAATGATTTGTACATTTCTTCTAGGTTGTCCAATTTGTTGGCATATATTTGTTCATAATATTCTCTTATGATCCTTTGTTATTTCTGTGGTATCAGTTGTAACATCTCTTTTGTTTCTGATTTTATTTATTTGAACCTAATTTTGTTTATTTGAATCCCCTCTCTTTTTTTCTTGAATATAGTTAAAGATTTGTCAATTTTGTTTATCTTTTCAAAAAACCAGCTTTTAGTTTCATTGATCTTCCTTATTATCTTTTCAGTCCCTATTTCATTTGTTTCTGCTCTAATCTTTTCTTTCTTTCCTCCTACTAACTCTGGGCTTCATTTGTTCTTTTTCTAGTCATTTGAAGCATAAAATTAAGTTGTTTGAGACTCTTTTTGTTTCCTGAAGTAGGTATTTATCTCTATGACCTTCCCTTTTAGAACTGCTTTTGCTGCATCCCACAAATTTTGCTATATTTCCATTTTCATCTGTCTCAAGATATTTTTTGATTTCTCTTTTGATTTCTTGACACATTAGTTATTCAGTAGCATATTGCTTAATCTCCACATATTTTTGAACTTTCCAGTTTTCTTTGTGTAATTAATGTCTAGGTTCCTAACATTGTGGCTGGAAAAGATGCATGATATGATTTAAATTCTCTTCAATTAATTAATTAAGACTCATTTTGTGGCCTAACATATGAGCTATCCTGGAAAATGTTCCATGTGTACTTGAGAAGAATCTGTATTCTGTTGCTTTGGGTTAGTATCACCCTTTCTGAGGCTCCATTCATTTTTCTTCATTCTTTTTTTTCACTCCGTTTTTGGCTTGTATAATCTCTATAGATCTATCCTCAAGTTGGCTAATTCTTCCTTCTGTCAGTTAAAATCTATTATTTAGTTCCTCTAGTGAATGTTTAAAGTTTTGATTACTGTGCTTTTCAACTCCAGAATTTCCATTTGGTTCTTTTTTATAATTTTTTTGGTATAACCCAGAAACTGCATTTTATTTAATTAATTTTAATTGAGCTATAACTGACACATAAGATTGTATCCACTTTAGGTGTACTACATAATGATTTGATATATGTATATATTACAGAATGATTACAATAATAAGTTTATTTAAAATCCATCACCTCAGGGGCACCTGGGTGGCTCAGTCAGTTAAGCATCCGACTCTTGGTTTTGGCTCATGTCATGATCTCTTGGGTTATGAGATCAAGCCCCATATGGGGCTCTGTGCCCAGCAGGAAGTCTGCTTGGGGATTTTCTCCCTCTCCCTCCACTCACTTGCTCTCTCTTTCTCTAAAATAACTTTAAAAAAATAAATTTTTTTAAAGATTTTATTTATTTATTTGACAGAGAGAGACAGCGAGAGAGGGAACACAAGCAGGGGGAGTAGGAGAGGGAGAAGCAGGCTTCCCGCAGATCAGGGAGCCCGATGCAGGGCTCAATCCCAGGACCCCGGGATTACGACCCAAGCCGAAGGCAGACACCTAACGACTGATCCACCCAGGCGCCCCTTAAAAAAATAAATTAAAATCCATCACCTCACATAGTTACAAAATTATATTTTGTTATGATGAGAACTTTTTTTTTTAACATTTTATTTGTTTATTTTAGAGAGAGAGAGCATGAGGGGAGAGGCAGAGGGAGAAGAGAATCCTAAGCAGACTCCACGCTGAGTGGGGAGCCTGATGTGGGCCTGATCCCAGGACCCTGACCATGACCTGAGCCAAAATCAAGAGTCGGATGCCCAAGCAACTGTGCCACCCAGATGCCCCATGATAGAACTTTTAAAATCAATTTTCTTAGGAACTTTCAAATATACAATAAAGTATTTTTTCAAGTTTTTATTTAAATTCCAACATACATTGTAATATTAGCTTCACGTGAACAATATAGTGATTCAACACTTCAGTGCAACACCTGGTGCTCATTACAAGTACACTACTTAATCCCCATCACCTATTTAACCCATCCCTCCACCAACCTCCCTTCTGGTAATCATCAGTTTGTTCTCTATAGTTCAGAGTCTGTTTCTTGGGTTGCCGCTCTCTTTTTTCCCCCCTTTATCCATTTGTTTAAATTCCACATATGAGTGAAATCATATGGCATTTGTCTTTCACTGACTGACTTATTTCACTTAGCATAATACTCTGTAGCTCTATCCATGTTGTTGCAAATGGCTAGATTTCACTCCCCTTATGGCTGAGTAATATTCCATTATATATATATACCACATCTTCTTTATCCATTCATCTGTCGATGGATACTTAGGCTGTCTCCATAATTTAGCTATTATAGATAATGCTGCTATAAACATCGGGGTTCATGTATTCCTTCAAATTAGTATTCTTATATTCTTTGGGTAAATACCTAATAGTGCAATTGCTGGATTGTAGGGTAGCTCTGTTTTTAACTTTTTGAGGAAGCTCTATACTGTTTTCCAGAGTTGCTGCTCCAATTTGCATTTCCAACAAGAGAACTCCCCTTTCTCCACATCCTTGCCAACAATAGTTGTTCCTTATGTTGTTAATTTTAGCCATTCTGACAGGTGTGAGGTGATACCATTGTAGCTTTGATTTGTATTTCCCTGATGATCAGTGATGTTGAGCCTCTTTACTGATATTTTCTGAATTGGATATGACAGTCATCATACCTTTTTTTACTTCTTTAATCATGGTCTCTTTAGTTCTACGAAGATATTTATAATGATTTCTTTTAAATCTCTTTTTGTTAAATCTGACATCGGTTTCTTCCCACAGTTTCTATTGCCTGTCTTTTTTCTTGAGTATGGGTCATATTTTTCTATTTCTTTGTATGCCCTATGTTTTGTTTGAAACTGGAGAGTTTGCTAACATATTGTAGCAACCCTAGGTATGGATATCTTCCTTCTTTCTAAAACTTGTAATTTCTATTTGCTTGTTTGTTTAGTGATTACCTAGATTACTTTTGTGAGATCTACTTCCCCATAATGGGTTGAACTGTGTTCTCCTAAAGAAGATATGTTGAAGTCCTAACCCCCAGTACCTCAGATTGTGGAAATAGGGTCTTTGCTGACTTAAGTTGAGATCATTAGGGTGAGAACCCTAATCCAGTATGACTGATGTCTTTATAAAAAGGGGGAAATGTGGACATAGATACAGATAGAGGTAAGACATCATAAAATACACAGGGAAAACACAATGTGAAGACAGAGGATTGCAGTGATAGATCTACAAGCCAAGAAATGTCTAGGACTACCAGATCTAGAAGCGAAACAAATCCTTCCTTATCATATTCAGAGGGTGCATATCTACACTAACACCTTGATTTCAGACTTCTGTCCTCCAGAACTGTGAGACAATGAACTTCTACTGTTTTAAGTCTTACAGTTTGTAGTACTTGGCTAATGTAGCTGTAGAAAACTAATATGCCCCCTCCCAAAACTCCCACACAATGTTAACCCTCTGATGTTGCTTCTCAGGGATAAGCAGCTTTGGGTATCCCCACAGCCATCCTGGGATGACAATGGTACTGTTAGGGCTCTCTACTACTCTTGACTACACTCAACTATTAAAGCTTCCCTAATTACCAGCTGATCGCTCTAGTTTTCAACAATGCCCTGGGGCACAGATTCTCTAATCTAAATAATTGTGGCTGCTTCCGGAGACTAACTTCTGAGGTCAATGTTTGGTATTCTCACTCCAAAATGCTCCTCCCGGCTGCCTTATTCCCACGTTCCCAGTTAACTAGCTAGCCTACAGTCTAGGGTGTATCTTCACTGAACTAATTATCTTTTTTAAAAATCCATGAATCTAACTCAATTCCCTTTCACCAAAACCTCCACTGTATTTGAGTGTACTTTTAGGTTCAAACTTCCCCATGCTCTGTTGCAAATGAAGTTAGTTCCTTTTGGAAGATATTAGGAGCTATTTGTTTTACAGCTTGCTTCTCCCCCTAGATAAAATCTCTGCACCATGGGAGTGGAAACAATGGTAAGCTTCTCTATGAGTGACAACCTCATTCTAAATGTTGAATGCTCCATAGTGGGGGCAGAGCAGTAACCTGAGATATTATCAGCTTGCTTCTCCTGACCTGGAACCATTTCCTCATGATCCAGGGCAGGACCTCAGTATTCTCAGTGTGCCACACTCAAGGTAGAGTTCATCAGTAGGGATTAGGCAGAAGAAAGGAGTCCATACTTCTCAACTGTACTCACCCAGAACTTAGCCTCAGCAACAGGCATTTGGGGGCAGGATGAGAAATGCTGAAGTTCTGCTTTGGGGAAGAAAGCCCTACATTTATTTATTTGAGAGAGAGAGACAGAGAGCACTCACAGGAGCACACGTGAGGGATGGGGTTCGAAGAACAGAACGGGAGGGAGAGGGACAAGCAGTCTGCGCTAAGCATGGAGCCAGACTTGGGGCTCTATCCCAGGACCCTGAGATCATGACTTGAGCCAAAACCTAGAGTTGGACACTTAACCAACTGAGCCACCCAGATACCCCTCTTCTAAGAGTTTTATAGTTTTAGCTGTAAGGGCTTGATACATTTGGCGTTATTTTTGTATATAAGGGTCCTACATCATTCTTTTGCATGTAGATATCCAGTTTTTCCAACACCTTTGTTGAAAAGACTGTCCTTTCCTCATTGCATAGAATTGGCATCCTTGTTGAAAATCATCTGAACTTATATGTAAGGGGTTATTTCTGGGCCCTCTATTCTATTCCATTGGTCCATATATCTGTCTTTATGCTAGTAGTGCACTGTATTGATTACTACAGCTTCATAGTAAGTTTTGAAATCAGGACGTGTGAGACCTTCACCTTTGTGGTTCTTTTTCAAGATTGTTTTGACTATTTGGGGTCTCTTAATATTCCATATCCATTTTAGGATGGATTTTTTTATTTCCACAAGAAATGTCATTGGGATTTTGATAGGGATTGCTTTGAATCTGTATCTTGTTTTGGGTAGAATTGACATCCTAAGAAATATTCCAATGTATAAACAAGGGATGTTTTCCCATTTATTATCGTCTTCTTTCATTTCTTTCAGCAATTTTTGTAGTTATCAGTGTACGTCTTTCACTTCCTTAGTTTATTCCTAAGTATTTTATTCTTTTTGATATTATTGTAAATAGAAATCTTTTTTCTTAATTTTCTTTTTGGATTGTTTTCTTTTTGGATTGGATAGAATCCAAAACATTGTTGCTAGTGTATAGCAACACAACTGATTTTTGTGTGTTAATTTTCTATACTAAAACTTTGCTGAATTGATTAGTTCTAAGTTGTTTGCTTTTTTTTTTTTCTTAAATGTGGCATCTTTGGGGTTTTCTACATATAAGATCATGTCATCTGTGAACTGAGATTTACTTTTTCCTTTCCATTTTGGACGATTTTTCTTTCTTCTTCTTCACTAATTGCTCTGGCTTGGACACCCACTATGCTGAGAAGTAGCAAAAGTGGGCATCTTTGTGTTGTTCCTGATCTGAGGGGAAAAGCTTTCAGTCTTTCATCTCTGAGTCTGATGTTAGCTGTAGTTTTTTCAGAATGCCCTGAGGAAATCCTTTCTCTTTCAGATTAGCTAAATGGTTTAAAAAATTTTTTTAAAAAATGAATGGATATTAAATTTTTTCAAATGCTTTTTCTTTATCTGTTCTGATGATCCCATAGATTCTCCCCTCCCAGTCTATTAATATGCCAAGTAGTATTGATTTTTAAATGTTGGAACAACCTTGCATGCATTATCCTCAGTTAGTCATGATGCACTATCCCTTCTACATGTTGTAATACCATATAATATGTATGTATTGTATGTATAATATATACATAATACATATAATGGATACACAGTAATATATGATTGTTATGGACGGAATGTTTGTGTACACCCAAAATTCAAGTTGGACCCCTAATTCCAATGTGATGGTATTGGAAGGTAGAACCTTTGAAAAGTAATTAGGTCATGAAGGTGGAGACCTCATGAATGGGATTAGTGAGTACCCTCTGAAAAGAGGCCAGAGAGTTAGTTAAATGTCTTTCCACCATGTGATACATTGAGAATACATTGAGGATATATTGAGAAGTTAGCAGTCTGCAACCTGGAAGAGGGTCCTTACCAGAACTCAACCATGTTGGCATTCTTATCTTGGGCTTCCAGTCCCAGAACTGTGAGAAATAAATTTGTTTATAAGTCATCCAGCCAATAGTACTTTGTTTTAACAGCCTGAGTTGACTAAGATAATGGTACATGTAATATATATGCAAATATATAGTATTCATTTATTAAAATTATATTAGCTTGTTTTCATTTTTTGGCTATTATAAACAAAGATGCTATAAAAATTTGTGTACTAGTTTTTGTATAAACATATACTTTCTTTTCTCTTGAGTAGATACCTAGAAGTGGAATGGCTGGGTGGTATAGTAGGTATATATTTAACATTGAATAAACTGCCAAATGGTTTTTCATTTTCCATTCCTACCAGCAGTGTATGAAAATTCTGGTTCTTCCACATACTTGCCCACATTTAGTATGATCAGTCTTTTAATTTTAGCCATTCTAATAGGTGTTCAGCAGTATCTCAGGGTTTCAATTTACATTTCCCTAATGACTAATGCCGATCATCTTTTGATGTGCTCATTTGCTATCTGTATATGTACTTTGTTGAAGTATTTGTTCAAATGTTTTGTTCATGGGGTGCTGGGTGGCTCAATTGGTTAAGCATCTGCCTTTGGCTCAGGCCATGATCTCAGGGTCCTGGGATTGAGCCTTGAGTTGGGGGGTGGGGGGTGGGCTCTGCTCAGCAGGGTAGTCAGCTTCTCCCTCTGCACTCATTCTCTCTCTCAAGTAAATAAATAAAATCTTTAAAAACTGTTTTGCTCGTTTTAAAAATTAGGTCGTTTTAATATTGTTTTGAGAATTGTTTATATATTTTGGATACAAGTACTTTATCAGATATATGCTTTATAAATAATTTTTCCCACTGTATGGCTTCTTTTTTCATTCTTTTAGCAACAATGTTTTTCAGAGACCAGAAGAAGCTTTCATTTTGATGGAGTCCAATTTACCAATTTTATCTTTAATGGACTGTGTTTTTTTGTGTCATATCTAAAAATATCATTGCCTAGCCCATTCAGATTTATATATTACATACTTGTCTGTATATATATTATACTTTGATTAAAAGTTTTAAAAATTCAATTCTTAGTTTTCTAATGAGATAACTAATTTTGTGACAATTTATCTTATATTTTCTAGGGTACACTGCAAAGAAGAATGGATGTTAGCTTTACTATCTATATTATAGCTAGGTTAGCTATTATTAATACCATAATCAACTAGTTCTTAAGGTCATGAGTAGACTTTCCTCACTCCACTCTAATGTTCTCATGATTAGTAATGAATTATAGGAGCCAACAGCCAATATTGTGCTGTAAGATATGTTATGTGGTAAAGACCAACAAAATCAATATATCGATATTAGAAGTGAGTCGGTTATTTCAAAGCAGTATATTTTCTATCCTTAACATTTCAGTCAAGTTCTTTATGGTGCCATTTTCAAATAAACTCAGAATTCTAAAGAACATTACCTGTATGACTGTCCTTGGGGTAGAAATATTCATTTTTTCTGTTTTTATCTCAGGTAGAACCGTCAAGGTTTTTGACATAGCCATTCTGCTTTGGTTTGCACCAACATATCCTTTTGTTTGACCTCCTTTTACTGTGTTAGTAAAGCTAATAGATTTCTTTGGCTGTGGGCCAACGCTCCTATATCAGAAAAAGAAAACATAATACAAAGGATCCATGATTGAAGGAAAATTAACCAACAGTAAAAAAGCAGACTTTCATTTAGAAACATGGAAACAATCTGAACATATAAACAATAAATAATAATAGCTACCTGAGAGCTCATCATGTGTAAACAGAGTTCTAGAATGTTTACATGCATTATGTCACTTTTTTCTTGCAACCCTTAAGAGGCTGCTATAAATATCATTTTATATAAAATCACAGAGGCTTAAGAGGGAAAAATTCCTCCTAGAGTTGAAATTTGAAGCCAGGCAGTTCAATCCAAAGTCTGCACTGATTTCTCTAGGTCTTAGTTTCCTTATCTGTAAGATGGGGATATTAAATAGTACCCTATTCATAGATTATTATGAAGATTAAATGGATTAATTTGTATATTATGGTTAGGAAGTCCCTGGCACATAGTAAAGCATAAGTGAGTGTACAGTACAGCTCCACAGGCAGAACGAAGCATGAGTAATAAAACCTGGAAAAAATATTGTGTTCCTGCCTGAACAATTACATAATAATTTTTAATAAGAAGAGAAGATAAAATCAAAATGTTTGCATCCTGGAGAAAAAAATATGATTTCACTTTTGTATACTCTGCAAATTCCTAAACACAAAAACCTACCTTATCATTCCTTTGTTCTAGTACTCTGATCGTACTATGGATTTCTATAAAACAAGGATGATCTTCCTTTAGATTATAAAAAGGAAATCTGTTTCCAAAGAAAACATTTTGTCTTTTTATTATTTTTAAATTTTTATTTTAAGTAGGCTCCACACCTAACATGGGGCTTGAACTCATGACCCTGAGATTAAGAGTTGCATGCTCTACTGACTGAGCCAGCCAGGCGCCCCAAACCCCCAAAGAAAACATTTTAAATGATACTTTTACTTTTCAAATCATAAAAGATCAGACAAGAATGAAATATTTTTAAATGACAATCATCAATCCATTTTCACATGTTATTTTTCTTCATAGCATTTATTATGACTTGACACTTTGTTCCTGTTGTCCACTCCTTTACTAAAATGTAAGCATCTTCAGGGCAAGAACTTTTGTCTTGTTAATTGCTACATTCCTAGAACCCACAACAGTACCCAGTATACTGTGGTCACTAAAAAAGTATTGTTTAAATAAATGAATTTTATTCATGTGGTATTTCCAATTTATATTCTTTTAAAGTATGTTACTCTCTCCTCCCACCTTCAATGTCTAAATGACTTTATCTTCAACATCTCTAAGAAAATAAGATCAACCAGGTAAAAACTCCTTAAATTATTTCTCTGTTGTCATTATATTTTTCTTCTATATCCTACAAACTCATCTAAATTTATCGTTCTTTCTTCTTTCAATAAAAGAGTTGCCATTCCTATCTAAGGCTAATCTTTCTACCTGTGCTCTAAAACCTGTTGGTTGTACTTTCTCAGGACATCTGTCCATCAGTAATTCCCTATCTGCTACATATTATTTCCTATCTTTTCCCCTGGAGCATATAATTATGCTCCAGTCATCCCCTTAACTTAAAAATCCTTCCTTTATGCCTTCCTCTATGTGTTACTTTATCTACCCTTCCTTTCATAGCTCAACTCTTTAAATATTAGTCAATACTACTACTTCCTTATTCCTCTTATCTGACCCATAATTCACTACAATCTAGTTCTACCTCCTACCACATAGAGACTTTCATTAAAATCACCTAGTCCTTCAACTTGTCAAATCTAAGGGACTCTTTTCAGTACTTATCTTTGTAGCATCTGACAGTTGACCCCTCCCTCTTCTGTGACACCACCATCTCTTATTTTCAACCTCTTTGGGACCTCTAACCATCTGACCCTTCCATTTTCTATTAGTACCTTTTAGGTTTCTCTTCTTTCTCTATTTAATCCAGAATCCACAATTCATCAACTGAATCACTCTTTTACCATTACCTTCAACTTGTATTTTCTCTCTCCTTGACATCTTGCCCTCCTATTCTTAAAAAACTAGTCCTCCCATTCTATTTTTCCTTTATTAGTTTCCTCCTTTGAAGATTACACTTAGGCTCAAACCTCAGTTATTTGTTTGTTCTCTCTCTCTCTCTCCACACATACAACACACAGTATCCCTGAGTAAAGTAACAAAACCTATGGTTTCAATGACTACTTATATTTCACCTCCTTATGGCAGTCTGCCATCATCACCACCACCTCCTTTCTCCCATTCCCTGAAGATTTTATATCCTAAATTACTCTCTCTCTCTCGAATACTACTTCTGGCATAATTCCTGAGTATTTCAATATCCATGAAGGTAATCCTTCTAATACTATGACTTCTTAGCAACTTGAACCTTTCTTACATACATAATCTTGTCCTCCTTGCTATGTCAGCTACTTATTCCCATGGTCATACATTTTACCTTGTCCTTAGCAAGGTCAACTGTCACTTCCTATTTTTCCAGCTTATATGCCCTCTTTTTTTTTTATAATGAATTTTCTTGGGTAGCTTATGCTCTCTCTCATTTTATTTTTGAGAGAGAGACAGAGAACCCATGCAAGTGGGAGGTGGGGAGGGACAAAGGGGCAAAGGGAGAGGGAGAGAGAGAGAATCTTAAGCAGGCTCCACAATCAGTGCAAAGCCTGATGTGGGGCTCGGTCTCATAACCCTGAGATCAGGACCTGAGCGGAAATCAAGAGTTGGACGCTTAACTGACTGAGCCACCCAGGCGCCCCTACACTCTCTTAATACCTAATTTCAAACGGCTCTATTCAACTCCCTTCAACTCCGTTATCACCTTCAAACCCTTGATTCTATCATGTTTTACTGCTTCACCCACTCCTCTCATGCAATCTTTTCTCTCCTGAGCTTAAGGTTAATAAATATAATCCATAGTTGATTAGGCATATCTCAGAGATACTGCAAGTTCAGTTCAGGCTACCACAATAAAGCAAATATCACAATAAAGTGAGTAAAATGAATGTTTTGGTTTCCCAGTGCATATAAAATTGTGTTTACACTATACTGTACTCTATTAAATATGCAATAGCATTATGTCTAAAAATACAATGTACATACCCTAATTAAAAAACACTTTATTGCTAAAAAATGCTACCCATCATCTAAACTTTCAGTGAGTCATAATCACTGATCACAGTTCACTATAACAAATATAATAATAAAAACGTTTGAAATATTGCAAGAATTACCAAAATGTGACAGAGCCACAAAGTGAGCAAATGCTATTTGAAAAATGGTGCCGCTAGACTAGCTGGACACAGGGTTGCCACAAACCTTCAATTCGTAAAAAACACAGTATCAACAAAGTGCCATGAAGAGAAGTACAATAAAATGAGGTATGCCTGTATTATAATCCTTACTTACACTCTCATCATACTTTTTTTTTTTTAAATTCACTGTACTTGCTGGCAAAACCAAAACTTTGATCAATTCCAATTACTGCTTACTTTGAGCCTACACCTGTATACTAACCACATTTCTATCTTCTGTAAACTTGATGCTTTACCATTTGCCACACATGTTTAGGCCCAACATGTCTTGTTCTGGACAAACTGATATGCTCAAGTCATTGTGTCTTGGTTTCCTGCCTCCCTTGTCCCCCCCTCCCCTCCCAGGGGCACAATTTCCCAATGCAAACCAGTCTATCCCCAACTGCCTCCCTTGTCAGGCCCTCACACTCTGGCCCACTATATACCTTCCCTCATCACCCTATAACCAGGTACCAGACAGTTAAGGATGGCCCCTATGTTCCAGAACCCACTGAAATTATTCAAACTAGCCAATCTTAAGCCTGCTTGCCTCACCTGTACCTTCCCATCAAAACCATGAAAAAGAAAGGCCCACAGTTCCTCCCTTTCCCTCTGCCTGATGACTGACCCCAGTGCTTCCCTAAGTAGCCCCCTGTGGCATTGCCTACCCTCTCCTCTTGGTAACTATGAGTAATAGACTATTTTTTTCAATGTCAATCATCTCCTGATCTGTTGACCCTACTATACTTCAAATTTTCTATTAATATGCTATATTTTAATTCAACCTGTACAGCTAAATGAAGCTGGAGAAAAAACATCCAACCATGATGCCAGATCTCATTTTAAATTATGGATCATTAACTTAAAGTGTCTTTAATGCGCCAGCAATCATACTGTATTTTCTTGGTTCACTTTTTACTAGACCTTCTAAGGTCACTATTTCATATTTCTCTCTTCTTGAATATCAACATCTACTCCCATCTTTATTTTCAGCTGATTAAATGAGAAAACTGAGCTAATCAAGTAACTTTCAAATACTCCTACTGTCACAACTATGCACCTGATTATATCTATACCTACATCCTCTATTTCTCTCTCATTACTCTGGATGAATTACTTATGATTCCAGCTTAGGTCAGTTCCTCTACTCATGTACTAGATTCAATTCCTTTCTGCCTATTCAAGGACACTGCTCTAGTAATTCTCTCATGCTTTTCTTGCTCTACTGCATTATTCCTTTTAGCAGGTAAACGTGCTATTATTTCTCCTATCTTAAAGAATTTCTTTTGATTCTGTCTACCTCTCCAGCTACCATCCATTCATCTTTCCTTTAACTATAGCAACTACTTTGAAAGAACTGTCTGTACTTATTGTTTCTAATTTCCCTCTGTATATACTCTCTTGAACCTGATCCAGTCAAGTTTTAGCCCTTATCATTCCACCAAAAGAATTCTTACCAAGGTCCAGTTGCCTCTACAATATTAATTGCCAATGTTCTCATCTTACTTATCAGCAGAATTTACCCAGCTGCTCCTTCTTTTTTCTTTTTAACTTAGATTGTACGACACTTCCCTTATCTGGTTTTCTTCCTACTTTTTCTGCAATGTTCATCCTTGGACTTCTTATATCTGTCTACACTCATAGCCTAGGTGAACTCATCCAATGCATGATTTAAATACCATCTATATGACTCCCAAATATATATCTCTACCTTTCCTCTGAACCCTAGA